AGTATTACTGTACAGCTCAGAACAAAGTGGGGAGGAAGAAATCTGAATATACCTCCATTGATGTCAAATGTAGGTGAACAAGTTTACCGTTTTACTCGATCACTTGCTTGTTTCCGATGCTATCCAATATAGATTTTGGGCCCCATCTCAAGATTTCCAGAATCTTTTGATGATATCATGTACTGCAGATGATCATGTATTGAAAGTCTTCACAATTTAAATTGAGGAACATTTTTCTGAAGTTGTTCCACAATTTACGGATAAGATTTTTTGTACCCAACCAAGCTAATTTTTTTTACCATTATTCTTTTCTTAAAATGATACTTTTTCCTCAGACATTTGATCTTTTCTCTATGCTCTATTTTGAAACATAACATAAGATTATGAGATTATCAAATCAGTGTCCCCACTGACACTTTAGGTAATAGGGTTATGTAAATATAGTGTAAACATTAAATCGATTGGCTGATAAAGTCATGATGTGGCTGAGAACACATCTCTGCTAGCACCATCCAGATCTCCTCACCGAGAAGCTCCTGTAGCATTAGATTCATTGAGTTGTTTGATTTGATCAATAATTCAACCTTTGAAGGAACTAATAACATGCTTTTGTCTCCTTGTGTTTCCTGCAGATGCTCCAAAGCCTCCCTCTGTGTCAGTGAGTCCGTCTGGTGAAATCACAGAGGGCACTGCAGTGACTCTGACCTGTAGCAGTGATGCTAACCCAGCAGCTACGTTTGTCTGGTACAAGAAGAACAGCCAACAACTCAGCAAAAACCCACAGCTCATCTTCAGCTCCATCCAGTCCTCTGACTCTGGACAGTATTACTGTAGAGCTGTGAACAAGCTGGGGTCAAAACTCAAATCCATCACTATTGATGTGAAATGTGAGTGAAACTATGTATAGGCTATAGTAAGTGAAAATATGTATAATATCATCTTTCTTCTCCTCTGTCTATTTCATGATTACAGTCTGCAGTGACATTTATCACAGGTCAGACAGAGGAGAGCACGGCAGTGATTCTGCTGGTGATTTAATAATAATAACTCTTAAAGGAAATTCAAGGCTGCATGAGGTTTTAAAAACATGCATATTGCTCAACTTCTCTTCATTACTGAGAAAGTTTACATTTTAAACTGATGATACTGTAAGAACGTTTTATGCCAAGCTTGAAAAGTGGTTAAAAATGTATGGATAGATGATCTAGCCCTGCGAGAGGTTTAAAAGCTGTTCAGGGTGTATTGACGAGTGTGAGAAAATAGATGATAGTGACAATGACTTATAATAACAACATCCAAGCATTGGCAGAAAAACACAAAGTTCCAGAAAAATTCTCAATGAAATGAACCTTTTGAGACTGGACAGAGTGTCACACCTTCATATTCTGCTGGTGTGAATGTTAATAACAGCAAACATGCTCATTTTACTGAAAGAACAGACAGTTGTGGAGTTAACAATAATAAACTGTCATTTGATCAGCTTATATTGTGTCTGAGGATGTTGAACTCCAGAACTCGACACTTACAGACTTGTTTGATGTGGTCAAAAATTCAAACATTGAGGTTTTTGATTTGGTCAAGTTTTCAGCCTTTGAAGGAAATAATACCATGTATTTATTTCCCTTTGTTTCTCCTCCAGATGCTCCAAAGCCTCCCTCTGTGTCACTGAGTCCGTCTGGTGAAATCAAGGAGAACACTTCAGTGACTCTGACCTGTAGCAGTGATGCTAACCCAGCAGCTGGTTACACCTGGTACAAGGCGAACAATCGAACACCTCTCAGTACAGATTCACAGCTCTCCTTCAGCTCCATCCAGCCTGCTGACTCTGGAGAGTATTACTGTACAGCTGAGAACAGGCTGGGAGCATCAACACCTAAAAAACTTTCCGTTGATGTGAAATGTGAGTAAAACTGGTTGTTTCTTTAAGCTGATTACTCAGCGTTTGTTAACATTAACAGTCAGCTGCTACAGATCAATGAGCAGCTGCACTGGATGATGTAAAGGATGTATCATTTAGTAGCTCAGACTATGCTGTTAAACTGTGCTATATAAAAGTTCAAATACACAGTTACAAATGTTTTCTCCTCCAGATGCTCCAAAGCTTCCCTCTGTGTCAGTGAGTCCCTCTGCTGAGATAGTGGAGGGCACTTCAGTCACTCTGACCTGTAGCAGTGATGCTAACCCAGCAGCTAATTACACCTGGTACAAGGAGGATGAAGACTCACCAAAAGCATCAGGACAGAACTTCACCATCACTGACATCACACCTGAACACAGTGGGAGTTATTCCTGTGTGGCCCAGAACAACAGAGGACATCATTACTCCACCTTACAGCTGACTGTATCAAGTAAGTGAAACCAGAAATGTTGATTAAACACTGAAAGTTATAACTCACCATCTGGACCTGGGTGTGCCTTCCATTTAAAGGGCACTGCTCTTGTTAAATTATTTCTGTTTGGGGGAAACTATACTGTTCTCTGTTTGTGTATGTGAGTCATAAGCGACACATGTAGTTGTCTCATGCAGCTTTCTATTTTTAATCAGACTGGGGATTTTTGGTTTGCTTAAGTTTAAGTAATTAAGTGAGATTAAGTTTTATAAATCCATTGACTTACAGTGGTGATGTCTAAAATTGGGGTCACACCCTTAACTCTAAATGATTTGACCACTTTTCTTTGTTAGGAGCGTGGAAACCAACAGTTATATCAGGAGTCTCTGCTATTCTCCTGGCTCTCCTACTCGTCTCTGTCATCCTATGGATCATGTGAGCAGATGCTAAGTGTCATTTATTGTGTAGTTGAGTTTGTAATATCAGTGCACTTAGCACTTTGAACTAACCATTAAAAATGAATTATCCTGACCAGAAAAAAGAGATCCCCCAAGCAACAACAGCCTGAGCCTGGAGAGAGACCGGACACTATTGAACAGGTGAGAGGAGAGAGGAGGTGAACTACGTTGGTACAAAAGAAACAAAAACACATTCTAGCATTAAAGTGACTGCAGCACTCTGTAGGTTCCAACTCGACTTTAAAACAATAAGCAACCGTGCAGTAGCTGTATACTACTCTGAGAGCCACCCTAAAATCTGTTATTCATCAGCATAAGCTTTCTTTTACCTCCAAGAGCATCTCTTGGAGGTGCACCGAGGGCTCTCGCGCTCACTTTTCACATACAGAATTTCGAAAAAGAACATCGGTGCAGATTATAAGTCTGTATCATGATGTCTGGTGTTTTTGTGTTTGTTGGTTTCTATTTATTCTGTTTTATTTTGCGAGTTATTAGATGCTGCTCCAGACACTCAGAGAATCCCCCGCCGCCCCGCCCTCCTTTCCCTGTGCCGCAAGCAGCAAGCTCACCTTGCAAACGGAGGGCGCCCTTACTCCCAGCAAATGGGCGATAGAAAACATTACATTATGCATGTAGTGTCAACATACAAACCAATCAATTACATAACTTTCAAAAAAAAACAAAAAAAACACGAGTACGTGAAAATACAGTGTACAACTACTACAAAGTTGACAATGTAAACTAAAGACAAAAAAAAAAAGTTCTCTCTACTCTTCTTTGTAGTCAAAGTTAAAGCACTGATTTGAATCTTTTATGAATTGTACATTTCTTATGTCTACAGCTGCAATCTGCAGATGGCGAGGTCGCCTATACTGCTCTCCGCTTTGTCAAACACAAGGCCGATGCGGTCTACGCCAACATCAGACCAGCCCAGGCCAAAAAACACAAGGAAGAAGACGAGAGGGTCGTCTACTCCGCTGTCACTTTCAGGAGTGCTAGTACTTCCCCTAGGTCAGTGGCTTCTCGTGTGTTTACAGAAATAAAACAACTTAATTCAGTCTGTTTTGAGCTTTTTGTGATATCTGTTCAGCAGAATCCAGACCACAACTCCAGAAGATGCAGAGGATCCAGCTGCTCTGTACAGCACAGTCAACAGACTTCCCAGACATGGAAAACCATCTCTCTAGCAGACTTTTTATCCACGGTAATGTTTTTAAATCTTTATGAAGTCCTAAGTATGCATCCAGCACTCCTGAATACAGTTACATCAAAGACAATTTTAAATTTGACTGACCTTTTTGAGTTCTCTCTCCAACTTCTTCACACAGATGTCATAACTAACCTGTATGAAATTGAGCAGCATTGTGTTTAAGGTCATTTCTATCATTTTATGGGCACTTTTCCATTGTCACAAGAATCGCTACTCTTCCTGAGTTATTGGTCAGATATTAATGAAACATATACATGTTACAGTAACTTATTAATTGTGATGACTCTTGATCCAGATGTGCTAATGACATAATTGATAATATTTTCTTGTTTCTTTTGTTTCCCTGTGCTCTGGAATATTTTGGTTTTTACTGTAATTATTCAACACCAAAAATAATTGTAATTTTTTTTTCTTTTACCCGTATGTAAAATACTTTCTGTGATGTATTAATACATCACTAACTTCACAATTATTAGCAATAAGGAGCCACTTAATCAAATATATACTTATAGGTCCCTCTAAATGTATTTCCTAACATTATTTTTGTTTTGTTTTTGGCAGCAAAGAATAAAGCCTCTGTCCCTGCCTCACCCCTCCTCCTTATTTCATGATTTGGTTTGTAAGATTCTAAGATATATTGCAATTCTCTGTACATGGGCCTCCAATTCTGTCTCCTCCAGCGTTTGCAATTAGTTCAAAAATGCCACAACACACCTCTTAACTGGCACCAGAAGGCATGATCACATCACCCCAGTTGTAGCCAATCTACACTGGCTCCCTGTTAAATACCGTATCGTTTTTAAAATCCTTCTGTATACTTTTAAATTTTTAAATAACCTGGTGCCCAGTTACCTAACAGACCTTCTTGACGTGTATAACCCCAAGAGAGCACTCAGATCCTCTAACCAACTGCTCTTAGTGCAACAAAGGCCCTGACGAAAGACCAGAGGGGACCAAGCTTTTGCAATTGCAGCACCCAAACTCGATGTTCGCATGTCAGATTCCATTCAATCGTTTAAATCACACTTAAAAACTCACCTTTTGAAGCAAATTAGACTTCCACCTGGTCTGCAGTTGTGCTATGTAACTGTAACTATAACTGTTTTTAATTGTTTTTAACTGTTTTTGTTGCCTTTGTTGTAATCTGCTTTGCTACCTTGTGTGAAGCACTTTGTCCTTTTTAAATGTGCTATACAAATTAAATATTGATTGACTGATTATTGATTGATGTCTCTGTTAAAGGTGAAATCTGGGTTTAAAAAACTGACAGACAGTTGGAAATTAAACTCTGAAATCCATAGAAAAGAAACTTCTTGAGTTTCCCAGTATTAGTTATATTACTTCTTTCAGACTGAAAAATAATGTGTTTGTGTTGCTTTAGCCAACATGCATCAGCTGTATCCAAAAGTCTATGGAAAAGCCTGCCTCTCTCCGTTTACCTTTGAGCTGCTGTGTACAGATTTGAGCCTTTGTCAAACAGTCTGAGTTCATTAATGAATTCTTAGAAAAACAGAGTCAGGTTAGAATTTAATACTGCTTCACCTCACCTTAAAATGCTTCGCTGCAGCAGTTTGATCATGAAGGCAATTTTTGAGCTGTCAAAAGAATATAACTGGCTCTCATGCTGAAACACTAGAGAGCAGCAAAATTCAGCTTCTTGAAGTGGAATGGCAGAAAGGATCATAATTTGTTAGACTCCTCTCAGGAACCATGTTTGAAATTATGCTTCAGATTTTCCTTTTTTCATAAAGCTTACATCAGTATCAGGTGAATAATCCCATAGCTACCCAGCTATGGGTTGAGTGGGGTCTTCGTCAGGTAATGCTGCTTTGTTAGTCGAGTAGTTATTTTTAACTACACCCATTTTCAGGTGTCATCACTCATTTAATTTAGTGGATTTCAATTATGGCTTTCCTGAAACACCCAAGGAATACGTGTGTTCTTCCAGACTAAAGAATTATTTACTTATTACCAAATCTGTAAACTACTATGGATCAACTCACTGAAATAAAAAATATAAAAAACAATATAAAAAAACACAATAAAATCCTAAAATCCTCAAAAAGCTCAGTCTGTCGTAGAAAATGGAATCTGGCCTGAAAACTTTCACATCTTCTCTTGAAATATAATAATAAGATGTCTATGGCATTTCTGTATTATAAATATGTGAACAGTCTACAGTAGTAGTATAGTATACAGTCCACATTTATACCATTCCCCAACTCCCACAAAGGGAGTGGAGCAGGTTTGTTTTTTGGGGATCCCTTTAGTATAATGGGTTCTCTGTGGTGGAGCCCATATATGTTGCCCACAGGATTACCTTTTGTGGGCCCATAAAGACAAAATCGGTATGAATCCTACATGGGCCCCACTGTTAGTCTATGCAATATAAGGTACTTTGAAAATGCCTTTCCTTGTGATAAATAAAAGTTGTAAAACTGAGAATTTCTCTTTCTCTCTAAAAGTGGCCTTGGTGAGCTGTGGTTTGGCATTAGAACACCACAAATTATTCCCTCAAGACTTTATAGGAAATATTAAGAGTGCTGTATATGGATTGGAAAACCACAGCAGTCCCAGATGTACTGACTTCATGCCTAATAATAACTCGAAGAGGAAGGAAGTGTGCTTGGTCTAATAGCTAGAGTTCTGCCTTCTGCTTACTGAACTGATCATATGAGAACATTATCATTAGAAGACAACATCTTTCTCTATGGTAAGAAGACTTTGTTTCTATTCTTATTTTATTGCACAGTGAAATGCACTAACTCAATTCTTTACTGATGTAATTTTCTTTGAAATCACACGGAGAGATGAGAGGAGCAGCCATGAGTGTAACTGCAGCAGCATTGAGTGGATTTATTGTCCTGCTTCTCACTGTGCCAGGTACTGAATACCTAACCTCTACAATGAAGGGCCTTTTCAGATGAAACTAAAAGAGTTACATTTAAAAAATTACAAATGCATCACTTCCCATTACCATGCATTCTTTATTGAGTTATATTATTGTTTTGGTAATAAGATTTGGTAAAACACTGTTGACATATTCAGCAACTTTCAGTCTTTTAAGAAGGATAGACATGGATAGGACTGTTTGAAATGTGCAGCACAACATCTGGGTCTGGGTCTAGTTTATCCGAAGGAAACTGACTCTGCACGAGAAAAAGAAAAAAAAAAGGAAAAGGAAAAAAAGGAACCAAACCTCATCACTGCATTTTCATAACTTTCTATTCTGTGTTGGTTACTAGCAAATCAGCCCTTAGAGACCAAAAAATACACTATAAAAAGTTTGTAAAAACAACAACAACAAAAAACAACAACCAATAACTGCCACTTGGATACCAAAAATAGTAAAATAAAATAAAGGAAATTTACCATCACATAAAAATCTTTTTCTGCATGAAAATACAGACAATGGTAAATTAAAATGCAGTTGTTTTGCAGGCAACTGCTGTTGAGATTTGGCTTTGCATAAATAAAATTGAAATTAAAATTGAATTCCATTTTAGCTTTGCATTTACATTAAATCTTGCAGATTCTTATAAAAAATTAAATATTAAATTAAAAAACTTGATTTACCTAATAGCATGGTCAAACTCTGTCTGATAAAATGAATGAGACTTATAATTGCAGAAAAGTACTGTTATTAGTGGGGGTTTTATAATGTAATTTGATGTGAAAAGTCTTTATTTTTTATTAATGTAATAAAATGGTGCAATACAATTGGTAATAGAGATTTAGTGACAAAGTGACATAAAGCCACTGTGGTATAATCCATAAAACCCTGTAACCTGCAGTGGTCTCCCTGTGTAAAGTTCATTTTCATCCTATGTCTCTGCTCATAAAATGAAATACTGTTGAGGTTCGACCTACACCCCTTGTTCAGAACTAAAATACAAAATCTGATTGGTGCTGATTTAACCCTTTCACTTTTTAATATATAAAAAAGTAATTCCAAAAATATTTTGATACTGTTAGTGTTAGACACTTTATTTTAAGTACAAACAATAATTTAAGGAATCTAACATTTACATAACAATCAATAAATATGTCGATCTCTTAAGAATAACAAAACAGAATTTAC